TAGTATATGGAGAACTTCAGTTGTGCTGTATTGAAGAGTCTTGATCCAAAAGACACTGGTGCATACGTTTTCATTTCACCTTTATTGTCAGTCTTCACATAGTCTTCAACCATGAGCACAAAACCGGTTCCATGATAGCTTGCATAACAGAGTATTACGTATTGTAATCCTGGTTTTGGTAACCGAAGTGTTATGTCTGTTGCTTGTATCAGATCATGCTTTAGCACTTCGAGAATTTTGTGGTGCTCCTCATCCGTTTGAAAAGCAACATCTTTTCTGAGGAGTCGATAAAATGGTATCAGTTTTTCTCCTAGGCTTGGCATATAGTTGCGAAAAAACTAAACAAAACCGATTAGTCGTTTAACTTGTTTTACAGTTTGTGGCATTTTAATTTTCTTTAAGAACGTGGAGATTTTCTCTTGTTCCGGTGACACACCTGCTGGTGTGATTATGTTACCCAGGAACTTCAGTCTTTGTGTTCCGATCTCACATTTGTTCGGCGACAATTTAAGTCCTGACTTCCGTACACATTCGAATATTTTCGAAAGGGTCGGTATCATTTCATCGAAGTTATACACAGCGCTTCCTATGTCATCCATGAATTGTGTACATAGGTCCGCAGCTAAGCATGGATCAAGGTAGTGTCGGATAAAAGAACTAAATCCTGTTACTGATTTACTTAGACCTTGAACCAGGCATTTGTATGCGTAAGTTCGTGAACCGAAGTTAAATGCCAAAAGTTGGACTGAAAGGTCATCTGCCATTTGCACACAATGGTATGCTTGTGAGCAATCAAGTTTGGTAAACAAGCTCTTTCCTGCGAAGTGGTTCGAAGCATCGGTCATATTTGAGATCGGAAAGTTGCTGTTGATGTAGTCATTCTTGAGTGAATGGTTTATCCTTCTGAGGTCAATCAACATCCGCAATTTACCAGATGGCTTTCGATGTGCAAATAGTGGACTACTGTATTTAGAATGTGACAATGTTGTTATAAGTCCATAATAGTGCATAAGGGCAAGTTCCACTGTCAATTCGTGTCGCAAATGTATCGGCGTAGGTGGTCCTTGTGTATACAGAGGTCGTGTGTGTTCCGGTTTTAGTTTGATTTTGAGGTCGGAATTGTACCCAACATCGAATCTATGTTTGGCAAAGATGTCCGAAAAGTCAACAAACAAATCTTCTACTTTTGACCTTTGGTCTTCTGTCAACACTGAATTCTCCCACTTAAAGTTCTTGATAAATTTCAATCGATCTTGACATTTCGTTTTCGGTTCAAGTTTTTCAAGACCTTGAAAATGAAGAATTTGGTCGTAAATGTCGCGTTGGATTTGAGGAAGTAATTCAGGGTTTTGACATGTTTCAGGCGTAGGAAACCAAAATTTTTCATACTCAGGTTCATGCTTCAATTGGGGCTGCTGACTATCACACGATTGTTGAATTAGCTCATTAATGCCCATTTCAATATCGTCCGGGTGGTTCATTTTTGCAAATGCAATCATTTCAGGTTCGATGGGGAATAAATTTTCTGCTTCTTTCAGAGTCAGAATTGAAAATTTGCCAATTTCGGTTTTGAAAGGCAAAGTAATGTGATGATCGGTGATGTTAAACGCTGTGATATACAACAGGTTGTTTTTCAGCACTTCGCTTATTGAAGAAGTGAACGCAATTTCACAGTTTTCTTCAAATTCCTGAGCTGGAATCACGATTCCGGTAGTTTTTTCCATGTCTTGACATGTGTTCTCTAGCTGGCATTCTACAAGAATTGTCTGATGCGGGGCTATTGTTTGACGTTTTGTCAGAAGCAAAGGGAATTTTTTCACTCTATTGACTCTTCTTGGCTCGTTTGGAGGTTTTATTTCGTTGATTTGAAGGGTCATGTCTTTGAAATGCAGTAGATTATACTTCGGACAGACATGAATATGATGTTTTTTATAGAAAGGATTTCCTAGAATTATTGAATTGGCTGCATGAAGAACGAGAAATGATTCTATAAAGGTCATGTCTGCCAATCGGAATTCTAACGTTACTTCAGTTTCAATGGAGACTTGCTGTCCTCCTGCCATTCTAACTCTCTTCAGTTTGGGTTCATTTACTTCAAGAGGGCGAAATAGCGATTTTTCTTCTTTTAGGTCTTCAAATGTCTGTTTTGAGATAACATTTGCGCAGGCTCCTGTATCGACCAGGGCTCTACGTTGTAATCCCGATGAGAAACGTAATTTCGTGTACGTCAGTACTGTTCCTTCCGCAGGGATTATTGCGTAAAGGCTAAGTATCTCATCAGGTTGGAAAAGTTCGTTAGGTGATGATTTAGGTGATTTCGATGATTTAGGGGACTGACTCAGTGGCTTTATTAGTTTTTTGGCTCGTTTGGAAACGGGAAATTTTGTCCGCGTCCTTGTTGTTTCTGTCGCCACCAGCATTGACTTGCTGTGTGGTTAAATTTTCCACAAACGTCACAAAATTTGGCTGATGATCGCACCATTGGTCCAAAAGGTCCGTTGGGATTTTGCGTTTCAGCTTGAGGCATTTGATTTGCGACAAATTGTTGCGTCGGATATTTCTGGGACTGTTGGAACTGTGCTGATGGATGCATTTGAACCATTGGCTGTTGATTTTGGTACATGTTTGGGTACTGCTGATTTTGAGGGTACAATTGCGAATATGGCTGTTGTGCAACTGGTGGCATATTGTGAAAGTTTGGCTGAGTATTGTTGAAATCAAATTTATTTTGCCAAATATTTCTACGTCTTCCGCCTCTGTTGCCTCGCTGTTGTCCATACCCATTATTTTGGTTTGGCTGATAGCCACTATACTGATCACTCTGACTGTTGTTGTTCCGATTTTGTTCGGGGAGCGGATTCGATTGTTTATTCGACTGCTCAGTTATTTGTGATCTCATTTCGTTAAGCTGCTTCTCCATTTTTTCCTGATTTGTGGACAATTTTGTGATAGCGCTTATTAAATTTTCTGAGACTTTGTCGTTTATTTCGTTAAATCCGTCTTCCGGGTAATCGTCTTTTCGGCAAATCTCACGAATGGTGATTTGCTTCTTGGTCAGGTTGCACAGTTCCTGAACTGTAGTTGCAGGTGGTTGTTCCATCAGTTTTGATCGCAGCCAGCCTGGCATTCCCTTAATGAACAGTCGTTTAGTTTGTTCATTTCGGTTGTCATGTACAGCATCTATCCTTTCTTGCCTTTGAGCAGTTTCTCGGTGGAATCGTGCTGCTTCTGCTGCTGCAGGTGCTCCAATTATTGCAGGATCAATTGGGGCGACAGCTGGCAAATCTGGTGTCGGATACGCTAGCTGCGCTTTTTTCGATAAGTTGACCAAGAAATTCTCTGGGGTATCTTTTTTCGTGTTGAATCGCAGTTGTTCTAAATTCAAAACGTGGATTTCTTGAAGTTGGGGGTTGCAAAAGTGATCCCTTAGGGCTATGAGACTCGCGGGAACGTTCGCTCGAGTTGCTGGTCCTAGTGTCTGGTAGAATCGCAGCGCGTTGTCTCGTAGGTGCAGTTGCAAGAAGTTCGCTTGTTGTGCGTTTGGTATCGCTGCTACTCCGATGTAGCTTTGAAAAAGTTGCTCGAATTCTGAAAAGTCTTCTTTTTCCGTTCCTCCATAGGGTTCGACCGAAACTTGCGCGTGTGCCATCGTATTACAGTCAAATGAATATCAGGATGATACAGTTGATGATAAGATACAGCAGTTATTCAATTTAGGGGGAACACTAGGGAGTTTGCTATATAAATTAGCTCTTAAAGAAAGCTAGTAGTATCACTGATCAGATTTATTGATGCAATTATATGGTTGTGCTAAAGGTTCCGTTACTTGACTTCTATGGTGGGGAAACTTAATGATAATTATATCAATTTACTGCAGGTTTGAGTTTCGAGTTTTGTTTTAACTAACTGTTTTTGTTGATTGTTGAAAAACCTGTAGATTTGCTTTCTTTGTCTGCCTTGTCAGTAGCTCAGCTGCCCTGCCTTCTGACTGGAACAAGAAGTAGTGATGTTGTAGGTCACAATCCACATCTGCTTCTGTAGATTGGAGAAAGTTTCAGCCCGGAGATGTTGAGAAGTTGAGGCTGTCTTCTTTTTCTCCCTGTCTGTCTCAGTTGTTCGCTGAATGTTGCTCTGCTTTCCACATCTGAGCGTTGCTGGGTGAAACGGGTTGTGTTGCCCTGTTCTGTTTCAGCAAAGTGCGGTTGTCGTTGTCCGCTCGTGTGATGAAGATTGCATGTGCCGATGACTTTTGGTGAATCCAGAAGTAGAATCTTCCGCGACAGTCACCATGTGATATAGTGTCCCTTCGGATGGCTGTGGACAGCTATATCGTCGTTTATTGTTAATGTTGTAAGCTGTTCGGATAGTAATTAGCGCTACTGGCTATCAATTATTATTGAATTGTATTCATAATTTATATGTCTCGAGCGGTTAAGACTTATCTTGCTTTTAAGGACGCAGGATTCGGTTCTTAACTTCTGAATACCGTTAGTCAATCATGATTCTAATATTTTATTCTCTTCAGGTCTACCCAATTGATTAGTAGCTCGGTCTAAATCTCCTCTGATTGGTATTAATTACCATCAATATTTACATAGTTAAATAAATATAGATGTATGAACTTCATTTCATTAAGAAGGTTAATTATGTTATCTATTATAGCATAAGAATGCATGACGTCATGTAGTGATGTCACAATTGTGAAATAATATTAATTAGTTAGTTCGTGAAGTTTTTTGAGACCACCGCATTCTTTCTCTCTTTTTTTTCGGGTTTTTATTCATTTTTTATCTCATCGGATATTTCTGTGCCACTATTACAGAAACTGGATGTCCTTGATATATACACTCCAAAAAAGAACATGTAACTTTACGAAAAAAAGTTCAATATATTCACGTTTGTTACATGTGATTAGAACCTTAGGATAAATTGCGTATCCATGTTTGTAATTTTACATGTGACGAATTACATGTTCATTTTTTGGAGTGTAGAGAATTAACTTACACTGATTTGGTCACACTATTGGCGGCATTGTCGGTGTATGTGACCACAAATCCACGCACAACTCCAATTTCAGGCTGTCGCCAAGACAGTTTCAACATGTCCTCGTAGATCTCGTAGCACAGCAAGTCACGCACCGGGTTTGGTTCTGAGAAACAAACAGATGCGGCTTTAAACTTCTGATCATGAACTTTAAGTTTTTATGACATAAATCTATGTACGTGGATGTTTAATTACAGCTCTGGTATGAAAATGTTTTTGGGTATCCTTAAGCTCAAACTTAACTCTCTGCATTCCATGCACACGCATAAAAGGTCTCAAAAATGTTGATTCTTGGTCATACAAGAAACCATGAATCCTTTAATGTCTTAACACTTTGTCCCCTTAACACAAATTTTGCAAATTAATAGCGCACGATGATTTTTTAAAAACTGAGAACTTCCATCGCAAAAAAATGTCGGATTTTGTGCGCTATGAATTTGATTTGCAAAATTTGTGCAATGGTGACAAAAGGTTAAGATATAATAAAGGATTCAGCGTTTTTTGTATGACCCATAATCAAAATTTATGGAGACCTTGTATGCATGTGCATGGAATGAAGAGAGTTAAGTTTGAACTGTACAGATTGGATAGATCATAATCAAATAGATCATAGTCTGTGGTTTCAGATTGGATTGAATATAATCAATTAAAACAGATTATTTAGCTAATATTTATTGAAACATTAAAATCCATCGCAATTCAATTAAAATCGATTATTTTTCTTTTTCATAGATAAAGACAAAGAAACTCAAATATAATAGATTTTTCCCAATTTATTGAGATGCGAATTTCAGCGCACATAAAGGTTTTCTACATTTTTAACCAAATTGGTTATTTGTTGTTCAATTTCAACTTTTTTCTGCGCAACCTTAATTTTTGTTACTGTTTTTGATGTTACTCATTTTCTCAATAATGTTCCTTTCAAAAATTTTCTCAAGTTAAGAAAATTCTTAGAGGGGGATAAAACTATAACTGGATATAAAAACTTAAGTCGAGTAACATAAAAAAAGTATCGCGTGCCTAAAAAATGCAGTTTTTTTTGGTCAATATCTTCTAAAAATCTTCCAATTCCTTAGGTGTGAGGAGAGTGGGTAAAAGAAAAAACATTGGGGCGGGGTTGTAAGAGGGCAAAAGGCAAACGTTAGGGGGCTTAACGGAATCGTTCTGCATTTTGAGAAAATTTATAATTAAAAAGCAAGTAGGCCGTACATCGCTTTGCAAAATTGCTGCATTACTCATTTGATAAATGCGAAAATTCTTGCAAAAATTTGCACGGCACAAAATAGTAGAAAAAAACACGGACAAAAACGAACTTTAAATGTTACAATTAAAATGCTAACACGCTAATAACATTTTTGATTTTTAAGCGTTTTTGCCTCTCAAAACTGAGCTTGAAAGAGATGCCTCTTGTTATTAAACCATCCTCGGTAACAGCAAGGAAGTTTCATTTGATCAGCTCAATCAAGTTTTCTGAAAGTTTAAGGAACGAGAGTTTCTACTTTCATAGAACCCACCCATTACCTAAAAATGTCGAAAAGTTTAAAATTTCACTTCAAAAACTGCCGGGCAATTTTGAGTTTTTGTACCTCCTTTTTCGAATCAGTCAAAAACGAAATTTGCTTTAGTAAATTTTCCAAAATTCCAAAAGTTTATTGAGTCCGGTTAATATTAAATGTTTACAAACTTATTCATATCTTGTGGTTCACAAAGCCTTGACACTGAACTCTCTGGATTTTTTTGCTACGCTGGGTCTTAGTAGCGTTCGAATTTTTTTATGTGTTTTATGCTACTTTTTTTGCTATCTAATGAGGAAACAAATTTCATATTATTGTTTTGATAAACTTAGATTTTTCTAAATAATTTGAGCTTTATAACTTATAGCAAATAGATAAAATTGCTTATCTATAAAAAGCAAATAGATAAAATACAGAGCTGGCAGAGTCAAAATTGTAATTAAGTTCATGCTACATCTCGAATTTCGTTGGCGTTTAGAGAGTTCTTGATAATTCTAATTAATTCTGTATTTTTTTTAATTTTGGCCGATTTTTTTCATGATAGAATAAAACTCGCGACACTTGAAGAAGAAAGATTTTTAACTTCATTATCACTCCAGGTGAACAAAAGTTAATTAATTAATTCGATTGCCTGTATAGGTCATCAAATCCGGTCGGCTGCCCTATGCAAAGACGTTTATTTTTACTTTCAATATGGGTGACTTCAGTTTTGTCGCCTTCAGCCAATCCGGTTGTTCCGTAGAGTTCCACGTCATACGTAGCACCTGGTTGCAATCCAGAGGCTTCAAAGGCAGTCTGTGAGTATTGGAAACTCAGCGGATCAACACAAGCTGCGTTATCTGACATGCAGGTTCCATTTACCGTCTCAGTTTGATCCTCAATTGCGGTGATGATGCCAATCTCTTCGGATTCATCTGAAAAATCGCCCTCGTTAGAGAGAATGGAGCTGGTAAATAATTCATCAAAATTTAACTAATACTTTTTCTATGGTTTGTGGAGTCTTCATTTTCTACGAATAGTTTGGGTCACAATCAACTAGAAAACAAAGCTGTAACACTCGCTTCTATGATAATAACAAAGAGAAAACAAGACTGCAAACACCACAAAACCCTGAATGTTCAGACTGCATTTTAACGTGTCTGCAGTACTCTTTGGTTAAAAAATATTGCGACGATGCAAAACTTCCCTCTATTAGTAAAAAGCGGAATTTGCTTGGAGAAAAAAACAACGTGGATAACTAACACGTTATTTTCCTCGACTCAAAAACGAAAAAAACTCAACATTACGAGGTCAAACTGTGAACTGGATAGGCGCGCAATTTTGTGTCTGTATGTTCCTGGATTCCAGAGACAAATATTTAAACAAGTTCCAAAATGTAATTGGATTCCACTTACAAAATTTCTTTGGAACCCGCGTACAAATATTTTCAACGTAAATTTTGTCGGCACATTGGTTGTGTCGCGGATTCCGCGCCAAGCGCACTTAGCTAGTTGTTCTGATGTTCGCAACTGTATGTTGATTCCGCGCTTTTGTATATTACTGATTTTGCATATGAACAATTGAAAACAAGAGCTGGAATTAATATCTATAGTAATGCGGAATTTAAAAGCAATGCTGCTGTACTTTATCAGCGGAATCCACGGACAATTGTTGAAACATTGGTCAACTAAATCGTTGTATGTCAACTTTTAGTGTCGGTCACCCCAAAAGTTTCCTCAATATCTTCAATCTACAGGGATTGTTGGAAACTTAATCACCAATTGAAATCTATATTTCGGATTATTGCGGAATCCACTTGTAGTTCGCGGAGTCTAATTACAATTTGCCAAATCTAGTTACAACGTGCGGCTTTCGCTTACAGTTGCGGATTCCGCAACAGCTCAATTTAATTATACAAATGTCCTATTATGCAGTCTGCTCCGAATTCCGCAAATACTGTTAAAGGTTCCGCAAAACCACGTAATATTGGAGTGATTTGGAATGATACAGTGTTTCAGCTATTTGTTTGTGGAATTCAGAACAATAAATAAGTTCAATAGAAAAATGTTGAGGATTTCTCGACCATCTGATTTTTTACCTGTTGCAGAATCGGCTTACAATGCACAGATCGCACAGTTTGGCCTCGCAATGAATGAAAAAAGCTCGGCGGTAGCTTGGACGCAAAAACATCTAATCAAAATTTTTTTCTCAAACTGCCAAAACACTCCTACTCCGAAAACAAGTCTGACGAACTTCAAATCAGTTTGGACACAGAGAAGAAGCTGCGCATCGCAAACACAAGCGAGGAAAAGGCAAAAAATTCTAATTAAGCAAAACAAAGGGAGATAAGAAAACCGAAAAAATTAAAACTACGTCTGAGAAAAATTTTTAAATATCATTTTTGAGACTACGAAAAGCACGTTCTCACATCGGCTCCACGACTGCTTGTAACATTACTGACACTTGCCACCAAAAAAGCAGCAAAAACTAGAGCAAAAATGTTCCGGATTTGAATCTCCAACCAGATGACCAGGACTGTCGCTCATGTCCTCGCATCTGCACCACGGTCACTTGGAAATGAACTAATGGCCCAGCTAATGCTGGATGTATCTGTTTAAACATACACGATGCAGAAAAGCGTTTAAAATTTTTAGTGGGGTTTACGCAAAAACTTAGCATGCTTAAGTAGGAGGTTAGCCGCTTAATCGAAGAAAAAAGCTACAAGTCGCTATTTCAATGAAATTCATAATCTCAGGTTTGGCTTTCTGGTTTTCAAAAAAGAAAAAAATTCAGAAAACGATCAAAAATCAAAATGAAAATGAGATGAAAATTCTTTTAAAAAATAAAAGAAGAAGTTTCAGAAAAAGATTTTCCCAAAAAAGGGTGAAACAGATTACGCATGGGGGTTTGAATGAACTATCGACCTCAGAATCAACAGGTTAATTTTTGAAAACGAAATTCCCAAGAAATTCCCTTTCAAATATTGGCCTTTCATATTTTTATGACCATATTTTTTTTCAAGACGCAGGGCATAGCCGCTTGCGCAGAAAAGATGCAATCACTTCACAAACTGATTTCTTGCTTTCAGTTTAAACCTTAACTTCCAATTTTTCAGGGTGTTTCTGAGAAACGTTTTAAAGTTCTTTTTTCTATCAGTTTCTTTAAAAACAAACCGCTTGATAAGTAAAGATTTTCATAATTTTTTCTTTTGGTTGAAACCTTCATCTCATATTCGTGCATTCACTGTATGAAAAAATGAAATAAATTCGAAAACAATAGGTCAAAAACCCCTACTGAAATTTTTGAAGGCCGTAGAATGTGGGGTAAAGCGAAAAACGACTGCAAACTATGCAAGCACATAAAAGAGCAGCCTGTTTGACCAATGATACCATTAGTTGAAAAACGGCTCGGTAGTTTGTGGAAAAAAATTGAAACTTCAGTGGAAAATGCAAAAATCGTCCGAAGCGTCGCAAAAATTTCACAAAAAACAGAATATCCCATTTATTTTCATAATACCTGTTTTTTCAAACATGACCTTAAACTAGCCAAAGGGAACAACAGATGGTATTGAATTGCCTATGTTTAAATAGGCTTAACTATGAACAGATTGAAATTTATTAAAAGAGCCACCAAATGAGCACTTTCATTTGCGAATTAGGTTAGCCGTTCAATACTGTGAAAATTGTCTAAAAATAGAGTGATTCTTTAAAATAGATTTAGAGACTTTGAAAACGTTCAACCGTGTGCAAGCTTCCGATTTTGTTCATTTTCTTTTTTGTTCTGCCTTCCGTAAAGATAGTAACGGAATCTTTGTGCTCGGGGTGGGTTTTTTTCTCTAGACAAATTTCGACTTTTTAACTATCCACTTTTGACGAAACTTTTTATATCATTCGGAAGGTATTGTTGTCTTGAGCTTAGATATTTTACCTGTGATCATTTTCTAAAAAAATATGGGGATTTAAAGATTGCCGTTATGACCAATTTGGGACAATTAACGCGCGATATAATTCGCGCTATTAACGCATAAGCGGAGATTCAATCGGTCTCAGAAGTTGTTCCAAATTGGTTGAAGGAAGCTTACTTGCCAAAATTGATTTGTTACTAGGAGCGAAATCTATCATTTTGTACTTTATATGGCATGTGGGTTTTTACTGCTCCATAGACCTTAAGAAGCAGTCGGAACATTCAGGGCCTCACTCTGATACGAGCAGTCTTGTTCAGTTTTATCCCCCACGCACCATGTTAAAAAAATGATATATTTTGTTCCATTATATCATCTTTGGCTTTCTATTTATGAGCAAGTGACAGCGTTTTGTGTACCATTCGAGCTATCTCCTTGCCCTGAGCTCAAAAAATCAATAATATTTAAATGTGATCAGTTTTTGTGAACTTTGGGCCTTGCGAGTTGCTCATATGGCCAACTTTTAGAATTGACTTTTCTATATTTGCACTTTAAAAACGAAGCAGTTGGAACATCACAAAATTTGTTTTTGATCCGAGAAATTTTTCAATAGTTTGCTGTCCGTGTTTTTAATGGCTTCAAATTGCAAGTTGAAACTACCAATGGTAAGATCAAATTGTTTCAAGACGGCGGCAAAAATCATTATCTTGAATAAAATCCCTCAAAAGCTGCAGCTTATAAAAAGTTCCAGGAGAACAACCCAAACTATTTGAGTAGGCATTGAAGATTTTTTTTGACCCAATTGAGAAACAAAAAAAATACTCATAAAAAATGAGAATCTTTAATTTTGAATCATTAAAATATCCAATCAAGAACCAATAAGTTTGATGGTTTTTTATGATTTTTATCAACTGATCGGGCTCTTGAATTCCTACCTTCGACTATTGTTACTTTGCGGGTTTTTTCTGAGACAAATAAATTGAAAACTTTGGCAGTTGTATTTTGATTTATTGTGAATGAAACCGATAGTCCATGTTCCGAGTCCACAACGACACTCAAGTTGGCAGACTTTTCCGTGATTTGTTTCGGCTCTGAAACAAATTACATTTTTACTATAATCAACCAGAACTGTAAAAGTTTAGTATTTGCATCTAGTAGTTGGTGCGACCATACTTTAAAAAACAACAAAAAAGTTTTTCTGTTGTTTGTCTGTCATTTTTTCTGCAAGTTGTGATTTAAGAAAATCCGAACGAAACACTAGAGTTTAGGCATCCTAAACAGTCATGAACTTTTTTGAGTTTTTGAAGTTTCTGATTCCGTAGACGGCGTTAAAAACTCCAAAAACTACTTTTGGTTGAGTGAATTTAAAATTAGGCATAAACAAGCTATCGTAAACGGCTTAAATAACCCTGCTCTCTCGCTTTATTGGCTCGAAATTAGACTAAAAACAAAATATTTTAAGCGGGTTTTTCTCGACACTGAGAAAAGTGCTTCCATTTTTTAAAATGTCGTTCAAATTTCAAATGAAAAAACGTTATTATGATATATCACTCAAACCAATCTGATGATTTTATCTTCTAATCCTCCTTTCTTAAAAACTAACTGATCTTCAAGTACGAGATCATTTACGAGATTATTTAAAGAAACTTCAATTTTATTTAAATTACAAGATCATCAAGGCTTTTCCTTCGATATTCAACTTTAAAGAATCTTTTATTTGTTTGGTTAATTGGATCATCATAGCCTCTCCTTAGATCTTTAATGTTAAAATTTCCTTACTTATAATTTTTCGAAATCCAAATCAATAAACGTTTTAATTAAGATCTAATAATTTTAAACCTTTCAAACTCACCCATTTCCCTATAAAAGTGTCTATTTCCGACCCTTTCAAACGACCCAACACTAACTGAAAAATTTTTACTTCAAAAACTCGCCGTTCAACTTAAACCAACAATGAGAAACTTCGGTTAGTCATCCTTCATTTGATTCTTAATGCTCTTCTGACCCTGATTTAAAACAGACATTGAAACTAGTAAGCTGTTAAATAGTACCTACGATCTACTCGTGTTCTATTTATACTTAAACTCTTTTGATGATCCAAATCATCAAAAGTTATAATTAAGATCTATAATTTTAAACCTTTCAAACTCAACCATTTCCCTAAAAAGTGTCTAACGACACATGGCGTCGTGTCTTTTTCCGACCCTTTCAATCGACCCAAGACTAATTGAAAATTTTTTACTTCAAAAACTTGCCATTCAACTTAAACCAACACAGAAGAACTTCGGTTAGTCATCCTTCATTTGATTCTTACTGCTCTTCTGACCCGGACTTGAAACATGCATTGAAACTAGTAAGCTGTTAAATAGTACCTAATGATCTACTCGTGTTCTATTCATACTTGAACTCTGGGGATTGATTCACTATTCGCGAATACTCGTTCTCATATCGACCCCATCGATCCCATATATCACAAGTAAGATTATGAATACTGTAATGCAGAAAACGCCGCACAATTGAGAGCAGTATGTATCATTCAAAAGAATTGACTTACTCTCTTCACAACCGGTCTTGCCACGACAAACATATGACCTGAACTTTTACGATAACATTCCATTATGAAACAATTAGGGCCTAACATTTCAAGAAAATAGAACGATTAAAACCTGGATTTTGCATCAATTTTTCATCCTAATACTTATGTCAATAACAAATATAGGAAACAAACAAACAATTATTATCCAAAACTGTCTCATTACAATTTTCATTTGCGATCTTGTAGTAACACCACATAAACAAAGAAATAGGTCGAAACAACACTCGCAAAAAGAAACTTCACTTATAAAAAATTTCAAAAAAAAGTGTTTTCAAGAAAACGCAACGCCACTTCAAAATCAATTACTACAAGGATAGGTAAACCAAAACAACTCAAAAATCCAACAATACCAGACCAAACAATAAATTTCGCGAATCACTTTTTTCCCTCTCCGAAGTAACAACAACATCGTCTCTAAGAGTAAAATGAGAACAAAAATCTACAGCAAAAAACCTGAACAGGAATTAACCCTTATGACACATTGAACATTATACAATAACATTAATACCACTACACAAAAAATAATTAGAGACTCCGATGAAACTTTTGAGGAAACTCTATTCTATCATTTTTCATGCATCCAGATGGTAAGACATCACAAAGACAAAACAATTTTGTTACAATCTCAAAACAAATTTATTTTGCACAGTATCTTTTCTTTGGAAACAACAATTTCCAGATGCAAAGATAAAAAGGCAGATACGCGGCCACTGCCTGCCAAATCTGTGCAACATAACCGCACAATATAGAATATTCTAACCTTAAACTCTACCAGTAAGTCCAAATAAGGTTACTCCATTGAATAAAGTACAAACAGATGATATAAAGATAAACGAAGTTTTAACAGGATGCAAAACCAAATATACAGCATTAAAACTCACATCGAGCAAACTCATTTTTCAGATCCTAGATTCCTAGATTCCTAGATTCAAATGAAACATTTTATGTATCACTACCACAAACAACACGACATCGAAACGTGAGAAAACTATTATTTTTATTCTCAAAAGTTCTAGATAGAATCTGAGAGAACCTCAACGAAACTGACATACACACTATAGTAAAACTTGATCTCCAAAGATTTTAGCATGGTTCATAACTAAATGTTTTGAACATAAAATAGATTTCATAGACCAATCTTGGAAAAAGTTCCACAAAATATGATGATGAAGCAATCCTAGCAGATCAATCAGGTTATATTTGGAACTCTGAACGGTATCAAGATAGTTCTATTGATATAACAAACGGAATTTCAAATTTGGCAATTCAAACAATTTCAATTTATGAAGATTATTTTAAAATCATCTCATTAACAACAGAAACAATGCCACTGAATTATAACAAGTTTTTTAAAAAAAGAACATAACATACCAATTTAAATTCAAAATTCATTCATGCAAAAGTCAATTAAAACGGAATAACAACACAAAATCATCAAGATTTTCAAACCCCATCACACTTTACAAATGAAAAAATTGTTGCAGCAATGCCAGAAACAACACAACAAAGTATCTCTCGAATACGCCTCACAATTACAGCACCACATACTGAAAATATACACCTCCAGCAATCAAAGTTTCAATCAATAACTATACATTTTCCCTTTCGTAAGTTTTAATCTATGGATTACTAAACAAACAGACCATCAAAATAAGTACTTTTAGTAGAAAATATTCAAAAAGGAAATCATTTTTCAAACTATAAGTATGAATTTCACAACCCATAGACCATACTTACTACCATTTACAGGCTAAAATTATACATTCACAAGCAATTAGTTTTCTCAATAACAAGAACCTACAAAAAGATCAGTTTGAAAATTCTTCACTTTTTCAATCAAACAAACAAATTGGACAAAAAATCAAAACCATTTCTCAGAAGAAGAAGAAAATTTTCGAAACGCTAACAAACGCCACGTGATTCTAACCAAATGAATTATCAGTAGTAAAACGAGGAGCAACCTGATTTTTTGAACCATAAATGGAGACACAAAATATTGAACAACGAAAAAGAAATTAACCAGTGAAACGAGTTCCCAGTGAAACGAAATATTTTTTGAATCATAAATGGACACACAAATTATTGAATAACGAAAAAGTAATTAACCAGTGAAACAATTTTGAACTAAAGACTACCAACACAAAACCTAACCATTTCTCAAAACTACCGACGTGAGGCCGTGAAAAATTAAAACTTACAACAACATGAAATCAGTAGACACCAGCTCACCAATTTTACATAATTACTAAGTACAGCAGAATCACTAGAATGAATCAATACCTTATGGGTGGATCGTCAGTTTCATCGAATAAACTCCTACTGGTTTTCACTGGATATGAATCTGAATTAGCTATTGAAGATTAATGAAAAGCCCTAACAGCAAACCTAATTTTAGCAATAAGACCAGAACCTATAAACCCATTATCATACCAAACGATCAAGCAATTAGCTGTAAAATTAGAAATATTTGTACGAAAAGCATACTTACCTAAAAAAACATATGATTACAAAATCACAAAAGGACAAAAACTCAAATGATAACGTTAACACCGCATTTACGCAAAGTAGCAATCAAGAAAGAGCATCATATCCTTCGAGGAAACTTGTGGACAAACTAAACAATCAGAAATCACAATGAAATCAGAAAAGACAGAAAAATTAAAATTACAATTTGTTTAATACTTTCAAACAACTACTTCAGATACTACTAATAAAGAAGACTTTGAAAATTAACAAGCAAAAAGTAGGAAAAAATGACACAAGTACTTTATATATAAGTTTTCAAAATGAATTCTTGAGGTTTGAATGCTTGAGTTTACCATTTAATTGTCATGAAAATCTACTTTCAATGTTCCTAGTAGTTCATAGGTCGGTTCCTTGAGAAGTTATAAGCACTCGCATGTCTCTTGGTTTTTGTTGGTACCAGTTTGTTTTGGTCCAAAGCCTTGGCAAAGTCGTTTTTTTTTTGTTCCACGATATCCTTGTTCAGAACGTTTATATTTTCGCGCACGACTGCTTCCTAAACTGCTTTAGACGGCATGATATACACTAGTAGTGTTGTGTTATCTGATATCATGGGTTCTGATTAGGCTGTCTATTGTTGAATCAATCCATTGAGGATGTGATGCTTTGTTGTATTTTTGTGTAGAACTGCCTGTGTCAAAGTCCTGCTGTGGTTCCGCGTTACCATATTGTTTCAAAGGGCTCCAGCTGTGAGAAGTTGCTCGTTTTCAGTTCGTGGAGGGTTGCCGTATCCTGTTCAAGGGGGGTTACTCGTGTCCAGTTAGTCCTTGTCGTTGTCATTTCTGTTGGGGGAAGTAGACAGCTCAACTCTACGTTAAATCTTTCTAGAATGCTTGCGACTACGCTTAAACTAATCACCCAAAGTGCAGGCGTAACTAATGCCCTGTTAGCCTCCTATGATACAAAGCTGGTAGCCTATTATTCTCAATGAATTTGTACAGTCTGATTGATTACCAATCAGGTACGTTGGGTACCAATACTAAACGTGTGAGAACTGTTATACATAGTTGAGAACTGTAATACATCGTTTCTCATTTTTTATGAGGTTACCTAACGGGTTTTTTCTATATGTTTGATCAGTTTTTCTAACTATTTCAATCGAGTGTAAAAAGGTAAGTCAAGCAATTGAATATTATTTAATTACAGAATCCATGGTTGCTATATTTCCTGGTGTTTTGACTTTAGAGTTTACCACCACTATGAAACATCCGCACAAATGAGTTCTCATCTGCACATCACTGATGAACGTTTCTTTCTATGAATTTTAGTAAATAGAGCGCAAGAGTTGGAATTAGTTGAAATTTATGCGACTCGCCTGTCACAGCTGAAGTATTGAGTGCTTTGTTCTCAATTGGAAGGCCTTGATCATTGAGGCCAGTGATTGCAACATTGTACGATGAGCCCGACTGCAGGCCCTGCAATAAGGTCCCAGATGAAACCGAGATTGTTTTGTTCACGAACAAACCTTGCAACTGTTCTGCAGAAAAGAGAGCGTCTGTTAGATTCGATCTCATAATTTGGGCTTGTATGTTAATTTGAACAACCGAATCTTCCGAACGCCGATGTCGTTTGCGTTTTTTGAGGTCGTTTAGGGCATCCCATGACAGTTTAAACGAAGAAGTTGTCGGTCGGTAGGCAAACGCATTGCTATCTTGATCGGCTGAAACACACAAAGTAAACAAGTTGGGTGCAACACAGAAAATGCAAAAGAATTGTGTAGATGCGTAAATTCCCCAAAGCCCAGCACTTTTCGAAAATCAACAACCCTAAAGGAGAATGCTTTTGTAGTTTTAAAACATCTCTTTTTTGGCCATCCGTCCTTCCCGCTAGAAAGTTTTCTAAATATGCCAATTTTTGGCTCTAAATCGCATTAACCCGGCTAGTCTTTTAATGGTGTTTTGAAATCTCAAGAGAGCTTTATTTTTGCTATAGATCTATTAAACTGTTGAAAAATTGTTGACAGGTTTATCTTGTAGTAGATAGTAAAAATCACTCCAAAAAATCGGAGAAGTTATTGCGACCCAAATTGATTTCATTACTTAAATAGTTTTCTGATTGGGTTCAGAAAGAAGTCAAACAAGTAGTCCAAACGCTCTATTCAAAGAACTCGTCTAAAAAAATAGACTGTTTTTATAAGCCACAAATAGACCCACGTCAAAAATAAACGTCAAAACAATTTCTTCTCCCCTATTTTTGACAAAATTAATCCTATTTTGCTGTCAGTGCGGCCAAGATATATAGTGAGACAACATTTCAGAGTTTAAATTGAAATGAAAGGCCGATATTGACGGTCATATTGTTCATTTCTACGGCAAAATCAAAGCAATTAAAACTGTCGAGAAACGAAAACGGCCATAAATCTAAAACCTTATAATGTTTTTGACTGCAAACCCCTTTAGCTATCCAACCTACCAGCACGAAAACTTAGCGGTGAAAGTTGGTCAAGTTCAAGACACGTTTTGAACCCGAATAAGTTCGAAAAACCCTCTGTGAGGACAAATGAGCCCTTTTACCTCTTTTTAAGGTATAAAACGCGGGGCTGAGGCTGACAAAAAAAAATTAGAGGATTCATCTGAGTCAAATCACACAAAGTTAGTGCGGACTACTTTTTTTTGCTTTGAGCAAGGGTCGATATTGTTCAGGATGCCGCTCCGCTATGTACATATTGGCAGTAGCGGATTTAAGGGGGGTTGGACGCATCAGCTCCCCCCACCATCAGGGATTCGACCCCCTGCCGACCCAAAGGGTCCCTCCTTGGTACTTTTTTGCGACATCCATTTTTGGCTGACTGACCTGAAAATTTTCTAAGGGTGTCTTTGGCACCAAACTATACTAATTTTGAGGGGGAGAGCGCGCCAAAAAATAACGCAATTTGTTGATCAAAATTTTTCAAAAAGTGCCTAAAAAGGCTTTTATTTTTGCTTTTTTTCAAAAAATTGCCTCCGGCGCGAAAACTTGGTAAAATTTGAGTCTTTATAGTGGTTTCCGAGAGCTTCACAAAATCAATTTGATCGACCTAAAAAAAACGGTCGACAATGTTTTCAAAATCTTTTCAAAATCCGACCCCCCAACCCACCTCGAGAAATTCCTAGATCCGCACCTGTGTGTTTATATGCGTAAACTCCCCCAAAAAGCCCAACCCTTTCCAAAAATCGACAACCCAAAAGATAAAGCTTTTGTAGTTTTGTTTGGCTCTGAATCGCATTAGCCCGGATAGTCTTTTAATGGTATTTTGAAATCTCAAGAGAGCTTTATTTTTTGCTATAGATCTATTAAACTGTTGAAAAATTGTTGACAAATTTATCTTGTAGTAGATAGTAAAAATCACTCGAAAATACAACGGAGAAGTTATTGCGACCCAAATTGATTTCACTAATTAAATAGTTTTCTGATTGGATTCCCTAAGAAGTCAAACAAGTATTCCAAACAATCTATTCAAAGAACTCGTCTATAAAAAATAGAGTGTTTTCATAAGCCACAAATAGGCCCCACGTCAAAACAATTTCTTCTCCCTTATTTCTGACAAAATTTATCCTTTTTTGCTGTCAGTACGGCCATGCTAGATAATAAGTAATAAGACAGCATTTCAGAGTTTAAGTGAGTCATATTATTCTTTTCTACGGCAATAGCAAAGCAATTAAAACTGTCGAGCAACGAAAACAGCAATAAATCTAAAACATTATTATTTTCTTGACCGCAACCCCCTTTAGCTAGCCCAACCTACCAGCACAAAAACTCAGGTTGGTCAAGTTCAAGACACGTTTTGAACCCAAATAAGTTCGAAAAACCCTCTGTGAGGACAAATGAGCCCTTCTACCTCTTCTTAATGTATAAAACGCGGTGCTGAGGAACAATTTATAGGATTCATCTGAGTCAAATCACACAAAGTTGGAGCCGACTAGTTTTTTTACTTTGAGCAAGCGTCGATACAATGCAAATGAGAGTAATCGTTGTCAAATCGCTTTCTTAAATATTGCTATTGTTCAGGATGCCGCTCCGCTATGTACATATTGGCAGTAGCTGATTTAAGGGGGGGGGGGGGGTTAGACGCATCATCTCCCCCCCCCCACCATCAGGAATTCGACCCCCTGCCGACCCAAAGGGTCCCTCCTTTGTTTTTTTTTGAGACATCCATTTTTGGCTGACTGACCTGAAAATTTTTCTAAGGGTGCATTTGGCGCCAAACTATGCTAATTTTGAGGGGGGAGGACGCGCCAAGAAGCGCAATTTTTTGATCGACAACTTTCCAAAGTTGCCTACAAACGCCTCCTTTGGCTTTTTTCAAAAATAGTTTCAAAGCGCTCAGAAAATCAAATCGACCTAAAAAACGGTCTAAAATTCTTTCAAATTTTTTTAAAAGGCCAAATCCCCCCCCCCCCTCGAGAAATTCCAATATCCGCACCTGTATATTGGCCTGTTTTTTACATGTAATAAGTTTCAAATCAATTTTCTCTTAATTTCTTGCTTTTCTGTAGTTTCCTGCAAACGCAACAGCTCCTAATTGACAGTGCTGAAATCAGTGATCACTGAACTGATACCCTTGCTAACCATTAGTTGATTTACATTCTCAACTTCCATAATACTTCTAATAGAGCCAACATACCGTAAAAAAGTAATAACTGAACTGATACTCTTGGTTACCATTAGTTGATTTCCATTATCAACTTCCATAATAATTCTAATAGAGCCAACATACCGTAAAAAAGTAATAACTGAACTGATACCCTTGGTTTCCATTAATGGTTTCCATTACCAACACCCTAAAACTTCTAAGTCAACAGACGCTAAAAAATATGCGAACGCAAGCAAACAGAAACAAAAACACTAAAAGAAAAATAAATGTTACTGAAGCTCTTTGAAATTCTAGAAGAATTTTTGATTAACACTTTTGTGATATTCATAACTCAATTTGAGAAAAAAAAGATCAATATTTGAGTTATTTTTAGTTTGGAAAACTGAAATGTAAAATCTACTTTTGAAACTAGAATTCGATCACGTTTTTTGTGACCTTTGCACTTTTGCTGTTCGATAGTGGAGTTTGCCTTCCTTTTCACCAATAAAACGAACTGAATTGAAATAAATCAAATCGAACTGAATTCTAAAATAAATCAATTTTAATAGCAAAAAAAACTAATTGGAGCGTTAAAACATTTTAAAAAATTTCCTGAGAAATTGAAAACAAAAAAAAAACATTACAACCTGTATGAGAGTCTGAATTTTATCATCGACTCCGATTTAACCAATTTTGTACTTCGATTTCGTTAAAATTAATAACAAAACTGCTCATTGAACTTCGAGACTTCAATAAACATGCAGATCAGATATCGTTATTTTGATCACTGAAAACTTCTCAATATTATTTCTAAATATTATTTCAAAGTCAATTTTGAACCTGTATTTTTGTTCGTCGCATTCGCTAAAAAAAATTAGTCTATTCGCCTGATTTAGTTCCAGTTTGTGGGCTATTTCAATGAACTTTCTCTTGAAAAAAAACAAGGACATTTTGAAAAAATGATAAGTAAATCAAAACTAATTGAGAGTCTGTTTACACACCGACAAGAGGCAGTGCGAAAGGTGTTTATGTACTCAAAGAGAGCATAACACTTCTTTGGAGCTGAGCCAAAATGAAACAAGACTGCTCGTATGAGGGCGAAGCCCTGAATGTTCCGAATGCCTTTTAATGTCTATGGAGCCGTAATATCAAGAAAAAATTAAATTAAAAAAAAATAAAACGAAAAAAATACAAAGTACACACGCCATATAAAGTACAAAGTGATAGATTTCGCTCATAGTAACAAATCAATTATTGCAAATAAGCTTCCTTCAACCAATTTGCAAGGAGTTCGAAGATGGATTAAATCTCCGTTACGCGTTAATAGCGCGAAATATATCACGCGTTAATTGTCCCAAGTTGGCCAAAATCATAATCTTTAAACCCGCATAACTTTACAAAAAATTATCACAGGCAAAATTACTTTTCAAAATTAGGCTCAGGACAGCAATAGTTCTTGAATGACATCAAAAAAAACCGTCAAAAATGGCTAGTAAAAAGTCGAAATTTTTCTGAAGAAAAAAAAACCACCCAGAGCATCAATATTCCGTTACTTTGGTTACGAAAGTCGGAACAACAAGATAGCATGTTGTTATCCAAGTAGCACAAAATGTTGTGGTCAAATTACTTAAAGTAAAATTTTTTTATAAAAGATTATTTGGTTTAAAAGAAAAACGATAGCAAGCGTTGATTTTCTAGTTGAATTGAATTTGAGAGGTCAGCTAAAAACCAATTTTTGTCTAATTTTTAATCTGAATGTAAATTTTGTTTTTTTATTAGGTTAACTAAAAATCATGTTTCGATGTTCAAAAAACAGAAATTTTGTTAAATATAATATGATGACATGTATTAGAAAAGTTTTCTCGAAGCTTTATACTCTCCTTAAAAAATGGCACATGCCTCCGAAACACAACTTTAAAATAACGTAATAAACAAAACTGAACCTACTGAAGTTTCCTTTTGAAAAACGGAAAAAATCAGAATAGTTCTTATCAAGAAACGCTAGATAAAAAAACTGTCCTAACTGCCCAGCAAAAAATTCTAGGACAACACGAAGATTTTTAAAGAATAACCATTAAACTTATAAAGGCAAATTTGATAATAAAGTTTTTAACAAAGCCTCCAAACTGATGCCTAATACCTGTGAGAAATCCCTGCTCTAAGCGAGCCTACCCAAGTTCTTTTTGTTCAGACAAAATTTTATCGAAGTGCTTATAATATTTCGACGAATAAGTCCATAGAAAGATTCAAACTTCCATATAGATGCAAGTTTTGCATTGAATACAAATCATACGGAACACTGAAAATTTTTCGAAAAATAACTTTCCTATGAAACATTACTTGAACTCATCATATTTGTTTGCAAATTGCTTATTTAGTCTCAATTGCTGTTTCGAATAACAAGTACACATTTTGAAAATTTGGATGTACGCAAGTTTTGCATGGCCTCACTTGTTGCCTTGAAACAAAAGTTTTCATCAATAGAGGAAAAAAATTCGGAGACCTGAGTTAGTTTTTTTTTGTGTGCCTTTAAAGATCAATTAAGCTCAAAAAGGTTTTGTTTATGTTCACCGCTCAAATATCACTAAGTGCTAATTGTAAATTCATGTGCCATTCGAGTTTTTTGTTGCCTGGGGCGTTCATCAGAGATGTATCTTGGAATAGGAAAAGAGTTCCATAAATTATTGATTTTGTAACAGGAGTTCAATTTATGTAGAATTGATTTTTAAAAAACCGATTGAAATGCAATGTTTAAGCTTAAGAAGTTATACACAGAAATTTTTTTGGCACTCTAATGTTGAATAAAACCACAAAAAAAGACAGAAAAACGTAAGTGCTAGAAAATTACAATTAAATCCAAACTCGTATAGCAGTTTTTCCCGCTAAACTCATCTAAATTGTAATGTATTTTAAATTTTTGCGCTAAGTCAAAGTCAGAATTAACAGTTTCGAAAGAATAGTTTGCAATTTAGCGGGAAAAAGTGCTACACAATTTTGGTTTAATTGTAAAATTTTCTAGCAATTTCGGTTCCGTTTGGAATTACGCATTCAAAGGCCTAACATTTTGCTATGGCGGTGGTATTACTCAGGGTTCCTATTGCCAAAATTTATGCTCGCTGTGGTTTTTTTATCAGTCAATTTCCGCCGATCGAAATAATAGTTTTCGACAATATTTCTTATACCGAATTGAAGATATTGACTTACTGAGAAATCTGGGATTTTGAAAATTGCCAAATTGGCCAAGTTCTGGGCTAAACTAAGCTCGGTTTGAAGAAATTGTTCCTATTGCTGAGACCGCAACTTGAACTATTTATGCATGGCGAGTTATCCCGCACAGCAACATTGTTCCAAATTGAATTGAGGCTAGCTATTAATTTTTGCACGACGCAACCTTTTACACTTTGATATTAAATTAATAGGTTTTCAATCTTTTCTTTTCCCAAAAACTATGAGATATGAATTAAGGGACAGTCGGAACATCCAGGGCTTTGCCTGATATACGAGCAGTCTTGTATATACATAAAGTCAACTAATTTTTTCAGTAAAAAGAGCTATTTGCTGCGTTTTTCTTGCAATTTATTGAATTTTGAAATCAACTGCGTCTCTTGAACAATTTTGGGATGTGGCTGCAACTCACATGCTTGGAAGATGACAAATTCCTTGTTTCCCAATCTTCCGTAACTCTCGATTTGAACTTCAAATTGGTACGTCGTCCCAGTGACCAGATTATTCAGCACAAAATCTAAGCAGCATTCGCAAGAGCACATACCTTAGAGCGCACGTTTTGGATGTGAAAAGGTGCAAAATACGAAACAACTCATTCAAGTTGACAGTGATAACCTTCTAATACGCTTTCTAGTACAAAATTGAAAAAACCTCATATTTGGCTCAGAGGCTTTTTGTTGGAATGCCATGAAGAAGTTCTTAGATTCGAGTCAAACTTTTTGTATATTTCTGCAAAAATGACGCCATAGTCAACGCTAATGGTAGAGTGACTTCAAGTTTCAACTCATAATGCACTATTCAAATTACCGCAATTTTCCCTCACCCTTTTCAACAGTCGTTCCGACTAATTGTTTGTTCACAAATAGCCTGAATGCGGAATAGTAGTCTGAGTCCGTGTTCCAAGCCACCCGAATACTTCCTACTGAGAGAGTTTCGAAGCTCATGTCTCCCGAAAACTCAGGAATACGAGCCACTAAAAGCAGAGAAATAAACTTTTTCATCATTCACAGTAATCGCTTCATGCCTGTAAAAAACGCGGTCAACGTCACTAGTGGATTTAGATGGAGGGGCGTTGGCCGGCCTCTTTCTCTCTCTCCCGAGACTTTACTGGTCGTCCCTTCTTTGCTACTAAATTACAACATCTCTTTTTGATCGGCCAATCCTAAAGTTTTCATAAAAGAGCTTGTGGCGCCAATTTTCCCCATTTTGAGAGTTTTTTGTTACATTAATAATTTTTTCTAAAAAAAACCATAAGAAAAATTGAAACTCCACCCCCATGCTTCAAGAAAATCCAAGATTAAAATATATCTAACAAACATTGTTATATGCTCCCGGCGAAACTGGAATCAACAATCGTAATATAAAACTTAATACATATCATCGGATAAAAGAGGACGCCCTTATAAATTGATATCAGCCTATCGGAATTTGAAGAAAATGAGAGCTTTGACTGATCCGCACAACTAATATCACGTGATGGCAGATCTTGATCGGACAGGGGTTATTACAGCGCATATAGGTATAATTTCCATCATTTGTTCGTTGGAAGAGAAAAAGTAACTTTTTTTAGCCAGTGGCTCTACCAGCAGATTTTGGTCCTTTTTACATAAATAATTTTTAGTCGGTCCAATGAACACAATCGAATGCGTATACAACCGAACACGATCCATTGAAACACGAACTGTTTGTAAAAAAAACCCTGGTAGTAATCGGTACTGTACGCCGAAAAAATTCAAGAGCGCCCGATGTGAGCAAATTTTTGCAAAAAGAGTAATTCTATCGCTTCAATTTATAGAAGAAAATAAGATACTGGATAAAATTTTGGCCATTTTAGCCGTTAACTTTTGATTTCACTAACAGCAGAAAAGGGACTCTATGCTGCAGCTGATCTCCTGGCTATCTGCATTGTAGCACCAGAGGGTGCTTGGTAGAGGGTCTGCTCGCTGAAGGCATTTTGACCAATTTCGCCCATTGTACAAAAACGGAAATGCGCAGACATCATCAAGGTCATCGTTTGCACAGTACTCGCAGCTCTCTTAACATAATAAAAAATTTGTTTTCAGGCTTAACAATCAGACAAGTGTAAGTGAAGTTACCAAATTTGTAGGTGTTTAGAGATTTGTATTTGGTTATAATCTTGATAACTTGCAAGAGATTACAATCTTTTATGATGCAATATAACTGATTATAGTTCATACAGAAAAACTCTTTCAAGCAATCACAATCTAGTACAATCTATTCTAAATTATTATAACCTCCTATTTGGTCAAAAATTTGTCTTAGAAAAAGGTTATTTTAATTATATTCTATGGGTTATTATTTTTCTATCAATAACAAAATCTTTATAAGTGAGATGTGTTGTCAAAGTTTGGTTTATCTGAACACAAAGCCTTACCACGAAACGAAAGTTCTATAGAGATCCCTTCATACGAATTGAAAGGTTACCGCGGTAGGTGAAATCAAATCTTCGAAATGAAGCATGAAACTAAAACACTGTGCTAATTTTTTGGTGGTAAGAAAACTAACAATATGCTTCTTTATACAAATATAATATAAGAAAAATCAAAAAATAAAAAAGTTAAAAATTTCAATTGATGTGAAAAAGGAAAAAACAATTTTCCCAATTTTAAGATAAACCAACGTCTATCAAGTCATAAAATATAAGCACTTCAGAAGGCAAAATGGGCAAACCAAAAGGATGATAATTGAGTATAATCGATTAAAATATAGTATTTGTGCGTAACAAACAATTTAGATATTGGGATGAAAATAATTCATTATAGTTGGTTTTAATTGTATCAATAAAAAGATGGGTTAATCATCAATTATTATCGGTTAAACGTATTGTATTTCATAATAATTTGCTCTGAAAGAGAGAAAAAAATCTATTGTTAAGTGATTATAATAGATTTTTTCTCCCTTTTAGTGAGACTGATAATAAAATCATAATATAATCGATTGTGATTCGAAACTGTATGTGATACTGTTAAAGTTGTAGAAGAAAAAAGTAATTACCAAGAGCTGCAGGAAACTGTTCTGAAACGAAAAAAAAACATGCTTCAGAAAGTAATCGAAAAGACTTTTTTAGTTTTGATTCGAGAAAAAAAGTATCCTCACGATAAATAGCTGCGATAGAAGCCCCATCTTGCCCTAAAACCACAAAACAATTCAACAATTCCTCATTTATCAAAATCAATGGAAATTTCAGCTATGTGAAACTCACAGTTCCGGACTTGGATTTTCGTGGGATCATTCAACATATCTCCTCTTCGTGGTAAAATGGAAACCTCGTAACTCAAACACAGATCCAGTTCGTCCAGAACCACACTTAGAACTAAGCATGTAAATCAAAATATTTAATCGCAAGAAAATCTCAGTTAGCACTGGGGACAATATATAATGAAAGTATATTAGTATCTGTGGTCTGTATTTTCTGACGTAAATTTTATCTTTAAACATTCTATGATGCCCTGAATTGTCGGAACATCTTCCTCAATCCCAAGTTATGATATCATGTTCACTATTCAATTTGAAATTAGAAAACGGAGAGTGTCTGAAAACTTTGACTTATAACCAACTTGGCATCTTCCTCCTTAAATGTTTAATAGGGGGAAGAAATTCACTCGGTCCCACATTCACGCAATCTCAAGGTTGTTTAATTTTGCCTAAGACTCAATTGTTGTCAATTAGAACAATACTGCTCGTATATCAGGGCGAAGCTTGTCTCAAAAACCGCTAAAACTTGACCAGAATTATTTTGACCATTTAAAATAGGTCTCAATTCACTTAGAATGATAATGAGTGCGGATAGCGTGTCACATAACGAATTTGCGTTTTAAAACAATCAAAGCATGATTCGAGCAGCGATGCCTTCAGCATTTCAGTCTAAAATATATATATTTAAGAAATTAGAATACAGATAGGTCAAGTTTTTGTATATTTTTTCTAATAAAATAGGAATGATATCGAGCCAAATTATCGAATGGCAGCTGTAAACTGGACTTCATTGTTGATGTATAAACACAGACGTGAAGCTGCGCTTCGCAAACACTAGCCAGAACACGACAAAAAAATTTGCTTTATACAGTAGGATAACAAAAAATATAACTAAGCCTCGAATTGGAAAAATTTTGCTACGCATTGGCTTGGAACCGGCGACCGCGAGAATTGCAGTCTCACACACTGCCCTCTCGACCAAAAACGCTTAGCAATAGGCAAACACTAGCCAAAAATAAAGTAGCTTCAAGTAATAATTTGGAATATAACAAACTGAAGGCATCCAAACTAACTTTGCAAATAATAAATTGGAAAGCATAAAGACACATAAGAAATAAACTATGTTTTTCAAAAAATTGCGAGTTAAAAATTTCTGATATCGAGTTTTTATTATAGCCTTGATATTTCATCAAATTGATTTTTTGGCTCCTTTTAACAATGAAAAAAGCATCAACTGTGTGAACTTATTACCAACCGAATGCCAAATCACATGCTATTAAAAAGCCTGAAGGTTCCAGCAGAAGTATCAAATTTTCAAAGAGAGTTAATTATCTCGTAAAATATTACTTTAAATCTCCTTGAATTTCTAAAATAATTCGTGATTTTTTTGACTCAAGTAAATTAATTTGAGAAAACTGCATCAACAGGTGAAATGTTTTTATTTTGCTTGAAAATTTGAAAAATTGGATTCAACTTTCGGACTTTTACACTTTTGCTGTTTGAAAGTGGAGTTCGTTTTACTTCCAACAATGTGATCGAATTGATCTCAAAAGAAGTCAAAAGTCAAACCACGAAAAATCAAACTTGAGCATGAACATATTTCAAGAAACTTTCCTTGAAAAAAAATCAAGACATTTAGGTGTTTTCACTACGTTCATTGGCACATGATACTGCAAAGAAATGTAACAGAAAAATTTGAGAAGAAGTTGCTGTTCATTGAAAAATCTAACTCTTTATCACAAGTTATCTAAAAAATATTTCACGATATAATTAAAAAAACTATTTGTGTTAGGTTAAATTTTCTGAAAAAAGGCCTTACATTCTTTATCCGCTGCCAGTCTTGTCACAAAGACTCCGTTCAGCAGAACATCGTAGAAGTCATTCTGAGTGACATTTATGAAGTTGGGATTAGCTCTCCATCTAACTCTGCACACAGCTGGTGCCAGGAACTCGGAGTTCACTTCAGATGGTGTCGCAGAGAACTCTGAAGGATGCAAAAAATCACAGCCAAATTTGATAATTGTTCACATCCTTGAATATATAAACAAGTTTCATCGGCGCATAAATAAACAGATTAAAATGGTATTGTAACTAGCAATTAAGTCTCACAATTTAGCAAAGCCCCTGAAAATATTTCGCTTAAAATGTCACCAATGAAGACAAACATAATATTCATTGGCGCCAGGGGCGGCTCTAGGACTTTCTCCAGGGGGGAGGGGGCACATTTTCAAACAGTTTTTAAAAAATATTGAAAATTCATTTCGAGGCCAAACTGTGCATTTTGCGCATTGTAAGCGGATTCCGCAACAAGGACGCTCCCTTTGTTCTTCTTTTGTTCTTTACTTTCCTTTGATCGTTCCGACAAAATTTTAACATGTTTAAAGACTTGTCTCTGGAATCCAGGAATATACAGACACAGAATTGTGTGCCTATCTAGTGCACAGTTTGGCTTCGTAATGTTTCGTCTACCTTTTTTTCCAGGTGAATCAAATTGATTTTCCAAGCACTCCCAGAACACTTTAAAGACCCTATTTTGACCAAAATATATGCGCCGCCGGCAAGTTTTAAAAAAAGACAACAGGTCAAAATAGCCGTTTTTGGGCACTTTTTCGTAAAAACTTTACCAAAAAATTAAGTTTTTTCGGCGCGCGCTTCTCTTCAAAAAAGTATATCTTGGCAACTAAGGCGCTTTTAGAACATTTCATTCATGTTTTTTATGGTTGATCAGCCAAAAATGGATGTCATAAAATAATATCAAAAGTTTGACCCTTTGGTTGGTGAGAGGTTCAAATACCTGAGAAAAAAATCGAAACAAATTCATTCATCTATCTGTGAATTTGAAAGAACGATATTACTAACCCCAGTTTGTTACCCTGATTGGTTGAAGGTGCATACATCGCCAAAAAAAGTTTTGCAAAAGGAAATTATTTGAACCGTGATGTAATTTTAATCAAGTTTGAGCGGCAACAAAACCCTTGCACTGTACGCAACCGCTACCCTTCTATAAGCAATTTCAGTCACTACAATAGATTTAGATCTTACACAAGGATAACTGAACAAGCAGCACCGAAAAGTTAGACCATTTTTTTGAAGTTATGTCTTTTTGTCCGTGGCGTGATGAGACGATCTGAACTACAGCCAAGACCTTAGGCGTAGTGGATAGGTATAGTAAATTAGGCATACTCTAGAATTTTTCTTGAAAAATGACAAGAAAAACAAATTAAAAACATTGCCATAAGACAGTTGGAAAAAGTAATAAACGCAATTAAACAGAAAAAGAACTCTGATTTTGTAAGAAAAATCTCAACTTTTTGATTTTCAAAGAAAAACTAGATGCCCTTTAGGCTCTTTGAATTTCTAGAACAATTTATGACATGCGTTTCTTAATATTAACCCAACTTGAGAAAACTGCATCAAAAGGTAAAATTTTTATTCAAATGGATATCTAAAAACTAAATTCCACTTTCGAAACTAGAAATGGTTTTCGCGCCATTATCACTTTCGTATTTTGAGCGTGTTATTTAGTAAAATCCAGCAAATGAATTTCAATTGAACTCAAAAAATGCATATATACCTTAGTGCTTACTTAAATGCATTAATGTGTATAAATGCACATCTGTAATTTTTAGAAAATTTTCCTGAAACCAAAAAATTGCCAAGACCTATACAAAAGCCTTCACTGCGTTCATTACTCTTAAAACAGAAACATATTTTAAGTAAATTGTTCTTCAATTTTTTGCTTATTTTTTTAATTAAAAAACTTTGTTTCTCAAAAAGTAATCCTAAATTTCTGCGGTTTAAGTAATGGTCAAGCAAAACTCATGAAAAAGTCATGCATCATGAGACAGATAACTGAGGCAGGAAAAAAGTAATACTAATTTATTGGGTTATAACTATTGTTTTATACGAGCGCTTAATGGCTCCTAATAATTTTAACCACTGAAAGTGATTACGAGTTTTGTTTTCGTTTGAAAAAATTTTCCGCGCAACGTTAGTTAACACAAGTAATCATGGTATTTTTTAGACATCCTCTCTGTCTTCAATCGAACGACGCACTAAAGTTTTGCTAAAACAACTTCTCAAGGTCGAGTAAAACCTGTTTGAGAAAAGTTTTTCATTTTTAATATAGTTGCAATAGAAAATAGCGAGCCAGTGGTTTGTAAAAAAAAATATTAAGCTTTTATTTTGGCGGCGAAATCAACAAAATTAGTTTTGAAAAAATAGAAAAGTTATCAAGACCAATTATTTTTTTATGAATTTTTAGTCAATTTTTGATAAAAAAAAGCTGTAGAATACGGCCAATTTTTCTTGACTTTTATTTAGACCCTCTCGTCACACCACTGACAAATGAAAACATGCAAAAAGATTTTTTTGTGGTCCGAGCTTTCGGTTGTTCAATTATCGATGCTTGTTCAATTATCTTTCTATGCAACTTCCGACGTATGTAGCTTATACAAATCAGAGCTAAAAACTTTGGTTTGTAAAATCGCTACATAAAACTCACAGTTAGATGAATGGACCATTTTTTTGCTTACTTATTGATTACTTCTAAACAGATCAACGTTTTCTTTAAAACCAAAACACGAACAGAAAGTTCAACCCACTTTTTGTCATAATTTTTGTCGGGGATAAATGCAAAAAAAACTATAATATCAAACCAGTAGAAGCAGTCATCGTATCTGATGATGTTCGCATTGCGCCTTGTGCACATACTAGACCACCAATTTCTGAAATAAAACAGTTCTCTGTTTACTTATTTGTGATATTTTTATGAAGGCATTTATGTAGCTATTACGGATCTTGTTTCGATCCGCCTGTTTCGATTTTCAGAAAATTAACTTTGGCTGTCACTTTTCAATTCTTAAAAAAATATCGGATAATACTTTTAATTTAAGTTCCTAATTTATGTACTTTATAAGGACAATTAAAATACATCAGCGCGAAAATGAAAACACAATTAGTTGGTGACAATTTTAAAACGCATAATTTATACAGAAATGGTTGTCAAAAAAATTTCATGCATAAGGGTGAAAATGTTAAGGATTGAGAAATTTGAATATTCAAAACCATCCAAAAAGAAAAATAGCATCAAGCCAAATATCTCAAATAGTCTCCTACGGCGCAAAATGTTTTTCAAAATAGGTTTTTGTGAAAGTAATTTTAGAACATTATAAGAAACTTTCCTCGCAAAATTTTAGATGCGCAAAAATGTCATCTTATTGTGTTTTGAAGGTGAACTCCAAAATTAATCCCATTCAAGCCCGGTTTGACTCTTTCGATATAATGTTAAAATAAAATTTTGAAATTTCTCAGAATTGGGTATAGTGATCAACTTTTTGTTCATCAAGTAAGACAAAATAACCGTTTTCGGAAGCCTCTCCAATGGTCAGTTCAACTTGAAACTCATATGTCGTCGCTGGAAGCAGGTCGGTGACAACTATCGTGTTGTTTAGTGCTTGCACGGTTTTGGAATATCTTAGTTCTACGCTCCGAACAGTTACATAGGCCGAGTCAAACGCTCCCTGAGTCGTAAATGAAACGACAATTTCATTGTCTTTATTTCCAGGCACTGCTGTTACACTGGACACGTTGGGTTCTGAAAGGAAAACGAAAACTCTTTAAAAATCTATATTTTGATTTGCAGCGTTTCAAGCAATATGCTTTAATTGAAGATCAGATAAGTTCAGGGGCGGATTTATGGGGGGGGGGATGCCCTTTTCCCTCAGGGACTCGACCCCTTGCCGACCCAAAGGGTCCCCCTTTGTACTATTTTGAGATATCCAATTTTGGCGACGTGCCCATAAATACCAATTTTGAGATATCCAATTTTGGCGACGTGCCCATAAATACCAATTTTGAAGGATGAGCGCGCGCCGGAAAAACGCAATTTTTTGGCCTGTTTTTTCAAAATTTTGCCTGCGGCGCACAAAATCTGGCCAAGGCAAGGTCTTTTTGTTGCTTTGGCAGAGCTCGGAAAATCAATTTGATCGACAAAACTTTCGAACTTTTTTGAAAATTCCCCCTCGAGAAAATCCTAGATCCGCCCCTAGATAAGTTTATGTAATCAAATATACTAAAAGTATAAGGGTCGATGTCCGCGACTAATTTTTTTGACTTTTCCGTTTCGCCGAAGTTAATTCCGCAACCGAAAACCGCATAATCAGCATAATATGTTTAATAGTCGCGGAAAAAGTCTGGAAACCGTGGGTGACTTTTTGGCTTCATCACTAGAAATCATCAGTAGAATTATTTAATTATTTCGACCAAAAACATATCTCACTCACTGGTGCATATTTGTAAAATTTGAGCAATTTTTGATCGAACTCCGTTGCAAGCATTTATCCAGCCGAAGAAACTCAGATTGTACTGGGTGCCTGGTTGCAAGCCTGTTAAGCTGAAACTCTGAGTCGTGTTCATCTTATAGCCGGAAGCACTAGCAACAGCATTTGCGAAAGTGCTGTTGTCGAAATGATACTGGTCAATGTTACCGCGGACTGCCGTAATCGGCCACTGAGGATTTAATTCCACAAAGGTTTCCCCCGTTGTGAAGTCTACGCTGGAAAAGTCAGGAGGCAGAGGGTCTAAAATTGTGCACAAGATTATAATGCGGATATTAGCAACATTATAATAATTGTATATGGTGACAGTTTGAACATAATTGCACTGAATTATTGTTTCACTTGCACTTGAAAACAAAACAAAACGTACAACAAAACGGAAATAAAAAACATAGACAAAAGACAGTTGGAAAAGAGTCACTGAAGGCAATTAAACATAATCATAATCATAAAGATTAGTTTCCAAGTGTATGATGAAATTAAATACACTTGGGAGAATGTCAAAGGCGTTTAGCCTGTCGAGTGACGCCTCGAGAGCAAAGAATAAAAAAATAATTTTGCATACAGTACTCAGCTAATCAAACAAAAGAGCCCTTGTTAAAAAATCACCGAAAAATCCTGTCTAAATTACCAATCAGAGTAATAAAAATTATGCTTTCATTGTTATGAAAGTCAGCACAAAAAAACCAAACTATAAAAAAAGTTTTATGCGCCCCCTTTTTCTAATTTTGGCAAATTCAAGAAAGAGATGAAAAAAAGAAACCTTACCTATGACGTTAGTTCCAAAAAGTCTATGTTATCTATTATATAAAAATTTCGAAACTAAAAAATAAGTTTTTCTTATTTTTTTGGAATCATTTTCCATATATCTTCTAAAATTGGTTTATCGAACTCTATCAGAAAATTAAACGATTTTTTTCTCTATAGCCATTGTTCTATTTTGATTGCCATCGCCCTTTCTCTTTGTTTGAAGTCCCTTGTTTCTAATAATCCTTAAAAGATCAGAATTCGAGTTCATCCTTCTGAATAAAACAGTTAATACGGTAAATGGTGCGTCATTTTCATATTACTTTTGTTAACGTCTTCTTTAAATCGTATGTGCAGAGTAGTTTTTTCTATGTGAACCATTTGTAATTTTTTTTACGATTATCAGTGTCCATTTTTTAAATAATAACAATTTTGTAGTTTTCTTTTCTGCACTTTGCAAACATTTTTCGAATAATTTTTTTTTTTGCCAGACCATATATTAGCAGCCCAAATTGCAAAACTGGTTGAATATACACTTTAAATAACTTATTAGGAGATGTTTGACCCAGAAACAGTTTATAACGATAAATGTTACCTGTGAGCGATGACAACCCATTAATTAAATGAATTTTATGCTCTTTGCTTTTAAAATTGCTGTCTCAATTTGAATCCCAGATATTTTTTTTCAAAAGAAAATCTCAAAATTTCCTTATTAAACTCATTCTTGCAATTAATTTTTGGCTTAATTTAATTTACTTTACTTATATCTTTTTTAACTGTGCGCTTTGTTTCCTACATCCCATACCGAAATGCGCTTCAATCTGTTGGACATTGATTTACCATCATCATTGATAGTTCCAAACAAGGTTGTGTCATCTTGATAGTTCCAAACCGGCCCGTGGGGCACGCAACACACTATCGAACGCTCTTCGGACAATTATTTTTCCAGTTCAACAATTTGGTATCTGTTTTCAAGATAAGACTTCAAGTTTTCAGGTAATGGGTAAGGAAAACCATAAATATAATGTTTTGTATGTAGTGTTGAGTGATCAAAAAGTTCAAAAACACTAGAAAAAAAAACAAAAAATTTACAAGCCTAGTGATTTTTGGTAGATCAAACACTTAAAAGTTTTCAATTACATCTAGAATTGAGTATACTGTTGATTTTTTTTATTGATATTTATATTGATACGGCGTCAAAATGTTTTGCTTTGATGAAAACTTAGTCTTTCTGTTAGATATTACTTTTTCAAGTACTTTACTGATTACTGGAAAAAGTTAGACTGGTGTTTAATTTCTGCAGTCATCTTTTTTTTCAGCTCTCAAAAAGCAATATTACTCTTGCAAATTTTAAGGCTAAAGGAAAAAACTGATTCTCAACGCAACGATTGAAAAGTTTAAAAAGATAACCACAAACAGCAGGATTATTGTTTTAATTAGATAGATTTTCAAGCCCTCACAGTTCTCTGATGTCTTGTTTTTTTAATCATTTTGAAACCTTTTTTTTTGTCGCTCGTTTTTTTAAAAAACATAAGGTCAAACAATTTTTCTATTGTTTCTAGTTTCATAAGATCTTTCCATATAGTAATAAAGTAATCGTTTATTGTCTCTAGATCAAATTCTGTTCATTGTTTGGTTTAAACTCCATCAAATTGTTTTCAAATTGAATTGTGGAATTGATGTTTTTGAAGTGTCGTTTGATTGAATATATTTGTTATCGTAAAATTTGGTTTTTTAAATTGATTGATTTTGTTGCTTCAATTTTTTTTAACTTTCAAACAATTCCCAATTTTTTTACTGAAGTCTATTAAAGGGTCTAGTCATTTTCTTTGATTTCGAAGTGTTATTTTTATCTTATTGCTCAACACCTCTCCATTTTCAAAGTACACAGCATGAAGATCTGTTATTGTTGTAATTATTGTTTCTGCTGGGCTTTAAAATATTGTAACCAAAACACATCAACCCATGTCTGTAACTTGGCTGTTTCTCTGGTCGAGCCGCTCGTTAATCTGGGTTGCAAGTCTTGAATTAAAAGTGTGCTTAAATTTTCTTCTAGTATTTTTGTTATCCTAAATTTGTTTTTAGTTTATCTCAACAGTGAAGGTATTTCAAATCGTTTTGGTTTTTCAAACTCAACATGTGTTCCTTTAAAATATCCAAAGTTTCATCTCTGCCAAATTTTGATGATTTTTATAACACAGTTCAAAGCAGTTTTTTCCTCAGTCAAAAGTTAAAGCAATCAGTAGTATTGTATCGTGTCCCGGATCCTAAGGGGGGGGTCCTTCCTAAGGGGGGGGGGTCCTCACGTAAAGCAAAATCCTAGGAAAGGGGTCCTTAATTTTTTGGAGGACCCTCATCCTAGGATTTTGTAAACGAAAGAGATTTTCCACCCAAAAAGCAGAAGACCCCCTACTTAGGATCTTGCTAAGTTTAGCTTAACAACAAGGGACACGATACAAAAATCTTTCTAATTCCAAATTTTGGGGTCCTAATTATTGGTCCTGATTAATTATATGAATCATATTAATTGTTATGCTTGTTTAGGGTAAATGAACTTTCGACCTAGTTGAAATTTGTTAGTGAACGGGGAATTGACTTTTATGGTATATAATAAAAATTCGCCGGCCATTTTGGCAGCGTAGCTTAACTGTTGGCAGCAGTAAACTAATTCCTTAACTTGACCTAAATTTTATGGTGAAAAGGCAGTAAATTGAAATTACTCTCAAAAGGCGGCGGCCGTTTCTGGGCAAAATATACCAAATGATAAAATTGTCAAATTTTGAAATAAGAAAAATGAAATTAGAGGGAACTTGGTGTACTGAAGATATTGATAATGAACATTTACAATTAAGAGTGTTTTCAACCGCAGAAAAAAACTCATTTTTCAAATTATGTAATGAACGCTACGTCGTTTTCCTCGAAAGGGCAAAGGAAATTTCAAAGAAAGAATACGAGTTGATTTTCAAAGAACAATTTTATTTGAGTGAGCTTCAACAAATCTCTTGGTGCATTTCTACAAAACAAAAGTATGGCACTGTGAGCGATTTGAATATTGCTGATTATGAAAACGTTTTCGACTATTCGTTTGACTTTAACTCATTATGGGTTGATAAAGACTTGGAGAGAAAAATCCGTCTATGTTTCAACAAGCTATCAAAATACAAAAAACTTCAGGTGGTTTATTTAATTATTTACCACCGTTATCTTAATGAGTCTAAATGGTATTTGCAAGGTCACTTTTATTTCCACTGGCTTGAAATTCAGCAGGTTGGAGAGGTGTTGGAAAAAATAAATAATGAAATTGCAAAAAAGCAGAGTAACTCCTATTGATTTGAAAATAATTCACGAAATTTATACGCCTTTGAAACAAACTTATCCTGATAATTCTAACCGACGCAACTATTTTCTAGCTGCATGTTCTCTGTTTTTTGTTAGTTCTGATAACCTTAACTACGACATTTTAATTAAGTTGAGACCTTATGGTGGCTTGATTGGTATTGATAACTCTTCCTTGGACAAATATTTGAAAAATTCCAAAATTTTACGATTGCACGCTATTTTGCACGATGCGGCCGGATTTATACACGAATTTTATCAACAGGGTCCCACGTACTGTTACATGTTGCCCTGGAACTGTAACAACAGCTTATTGGGACATTTGAGTGGAATAGCGTTCTGCCTTTTCATTAAGTTGAAAAAACCAGAAGTTTATCATTTACTAGAATGCTAGGCGAGAGATCAGTTGTGCTTGACGTGGAAGGCTTTCGTTACAAGAAAAACGCCTTTGTGGTTAAAGAATTAGCAATAACAACTTCAGACTACAGCGATCGACTCATTTTCCTACCTCCAGTGAATTTCAATATACTACCAAAGCTTGAACAAAAAGCTTACAACTGGTTAACTAATTATTTACACGGTCTCCATTGGGAAAACGGTGATTATCTTTATATAAACTTGAATCAAATACTTCAGAGTTTTGTGCTGAGAAATCCTGGTGCCGTTTTTTACGCTAAAGGAAAAGAAAAGACAGAATTTTTGGCCAAGTACTTGGACCGAAAGATTGAAAACCTAGATGATTTGGGCTGTCCTCGGGTTGAAAACTTATATTTTAAAAATTATCCAAGTTGCAATAAACATATTCCACATTACAACTCCAGGAATCATTGTGCCTTGAAGAAAACCAAGGTTTTTTATGATTGGTTGAAAAATGAACAACAGCGAGAGATCAGCGAAAGTGGAGACATACCTATCACAAAATTCAATGATTTGTGCGTGGATGACTCCAGAGGGTGATATTAAAATTTCATTAACGAGAATAGAGCGTATTGATTGCAGTGGCCAAATTGTTCAGAGGAAGGAGCAAATAATAATTTCCGAAGAAGAGTTGTCTACGTTGAAGAGGTTTTTTCCAGTTATTGATCAATTTGTATACTTCCAGAGATTCAAGTTTATCAGAAATGTTAGCCAGCAAGCGAGGAGTATGTCTTCCCGAACTA